CCGCCAGCTGTGTGACTTTGGGCAAGTCATTATCCCACTCTGGGCCACATTTGGTTCTAAAATGGGAACAGCTGTTCAGTGACTCCTCTTCCCTAAGACAGCAGTGACTTGGCCTCTCCCAGCCCTGTCCCCATGCCAGTGGCCTCTCCAAACAGTCGCCACCCAGCCCAAGCAAGGCATGGGACTTGGAAGCTTGGGGGCCATGGGTTAGCTGGCCGCCCCTCCCCCTCTCCTCCTGTTCTGGTTCTGACTCCACCTTCTGGGGGCCTCAGCCCCACTCTCCCTCCAGAAGCAGCCTGTGACTCACCTGCTCTCTCTCCCCCTCTCTCCTCCCCTCTCCCCTTGACTCTCCTCACTGGCCCTGGTCTTCTGACCCCTCCTCTCCTCCTGCCCCTTCCCCCCTCTTATCTTCTAGCTATTACAAGCCAGAGGCACCCGGATGTGAGGCCCCAGATCACCTCCAGGGACAGGGGCTTCCGATCCGAAATCCTATATTTTTGTACCACGAGGTGGGCCCCTGGCCCCAGGAGGAAGACGCGCTCTCCCCGCTGCCACTTCTGTCTCCACCTGCAGGGCTGTGACTTATCCCTGCCTCTGGCGGTGGGCTGGGGGCCTTCTAGGACCTCACAAGGCCTTCGGTGGGCCCTTGGCCCTGTGGGCAGAGCCACCTGCTCCTGGCCCAAGTGTGGCACCATCCGGCTGTGTCTGCCAGGCCCCTTTGTTCCCTCGCCCGGGCCCCCCTGCTGCATGGTGGATGCTCTCCCTCCTGGCCCCATCACGTCACCTCCTTGAGCCTCGGTTTCCCTGTCAGTGGGGTAACCCGCCTGCCTGCCTACCTCACGGGGTTGTGGGGTGCAGCAAGGAGCAGAGTCCCTGAAAGCCCTCAGGAGTCAGACTCCCCTCATCTCCCCCAGGGGGAGCCCAGCCTAGCCCCTAAGCAGGACCCTGTTGGCCAGTAGAGATTCAGGTATTGGGGGCAGAGTGTAGAGATTCAGCCCTTTCCAAAGGAAGGGGTAGGTGACTTGGCCTTCAGTGTGGCTATGCCCGTGCCCACCCATGTGTGTGGCTGCAGAGCATCCTGCCCACCAGCGGGGCCGGGAGCAGCTTAGGAACTCGTGATGAGAGATGGAGCCCTTCCCTCTTAGAGCACGGGCTGGCTAGGACAGGCTCTGCCACAGGCCCTCACGTGCGACCTCCAGGGCGGGTGCTGACCTCTCAGCTGCGTGCCACCCCCTCACAGAATAAACTGAAGAAACTGTGGCTGTCTCCTCTCTCTGTAGGCCACTAAGGGGCCGGGCCACACTCCAAGCAGGGAGGAATGGGGTTTTTCCTAAAGCTGGGGCCCTTACCTGGCTGGCAGCTATGCTGCATGTTGAGGGACAGGTTGGGACATGGCTGCATCCTCTGTCAGGTGGCTGGAGGCCAGCAGTGCCTCCCCTGCCACAGACACACCGGGGAGCTGGAGCCCCACTGCATCCTGACCTCAGCATGGCCCTTCCTGCTGGACACCCGGCCGCTCAACCGTTGCTGCCCCGCATTCACCTCCCCACTCAGCACTGGGGAAGCTCTGGTCCCCAGCCAGTTCCTGCACTGCCCAACCTGTAGTGAGGCCCTCTGGGGCTGTGAGCCCAAGGTGAGCTCCCTCTGTCCACCTTTACCAACCACCCAGAGCCCCCCACTCACCCACCTGCACCGATTTGAGGGGTGGCCCCAGAATTTGAGTTTTAGGAGAGCATCCAGAGGTCACAGCGCAGTTCTGTCCAGACCCCGACTGCCCTCCCACTCAGCCACTGTCTCCACCCACCTCCTGCAGAACCTCCAAGCTCTGGCTCCCCTCCCCCGATCCCTTCTATCCTGGCAGCTTACCTACCTTGCCTTCTCCTAGTTAGGCTCCCGCCTGATCCCAGGGGAGCTACACCTCGGCTCTGTCACCAGCCCCTCCTGGCCACTGGCCATGTCCAGGCCTGACCTCTCCTCCCCCAGTTCTGTGCTGGCCTCCAACCTGCTCCATGCCGCTGTACCATGCTGAATCCACTCCTGTCACCCCTGCTCGCAGGCTGCCTGGGGTTCCCATAGCTCTCAGTCACGTCCTTAGCACAACCCCACCTTGCCTTTTCCAGCCTGTTTACCTCTTTGAATCCCTTCCCCAAGTATGTCACTTCTTAGCCTGCATTGTGACTACTCAGGGCTCACTGTACCCTAGGACACTGTGTTCTGCGGGACATGGGAACAAACATCACAATGGAGGGCACAGGATGCACAGCTGGCCCAGTGCCATTTTGAGGGTACCCTGTCCCTCTCCAAGCCTCAGTTTTCCCACAATTCCAGGAGGAATCCGTCACTCGTTCCATCCTGTCCCCCTCACTGTGACCGGAGGGTCCCCAAACCATGGCCTTCCCGCCCTCAGTGACCTCCGCTGCCCCTTGGTGTTTTTTCCCATGCCTGGCGATCAGGAGGCCACTCTGCTCCATCTAGGGCACGAGGCAGGGCTGGTCCCCAGGCAGACGCCAACAACAGAGCCTACTGGGGCAGGTGCTTTATTTTTGAGAGTGAGCTGCCCTCTAGGCGGGGGCAGGGGTGGCAGGACCCTCCAGCTGAGGTCATCCCACCCTTTGGCTTAGGGCAGCAGTTGCCCACTTGTCGTCCCAGGCCCACCTCCCATCTCACAGAGGCTGGAATCTGCTCTGGAGCCAGGGCTACGCGTCGCATCTGCACAGGCTCTGCCTGGAGGAGGGAGCTTGACCCTTCTTCCTGGGACAGAGCTGCACCATCCCACTGAGTACCCCCGAGTATGAAGCAGGGAGAAAGATGAGACCAAGAGGATGGACTGGCAGGTGATGGGGCTGGGTGTGACCCCCACCATCCTGACCCATTGGACCTGGGCCCCCAGGAGGTCCTGACCACAGGCTGATGGCCTTCCCCCTCCTTGTGCAGTCTGGAGAATGGTAGGGACAGGATGAGGCCTCCTGCCTCTGCAGGGCCACTTGCCCCCAGAATACTTGTTCCTCCACCTGGTGGGTGCCCTGTGTGCTCTCCTTCCAGGAGGTGCCCCCGGCTCATGGCACCTCAGGTCAGGGCCTGCTGGATCCAGCCAATCACACCTGTGATGCGAGTGTAGACGCCAAAGTAGTTGGGCCGGCCACAGCCCAGGCCCCAGCTGACCAGCCCCGCCAGGAACCAGCGGCCACTGGGCTCCTTGCACACCAGCGGGCCACCAGAGTCACCCTGAGAGGAGGAGAGGACAGGGCTGCATCAAGAATTTGCTAAGTGGCAGCAAGAAAGGCATACCCCTGTTCAAAGTTGTTCCCCAAACCCAGTAAACGGAGTGCAGCCACACTGCTGGCCTCTGGTGGGTCCCAGCTCTTGGAAACTGTGGGTGGACGTGCCTACACCCTGCTCACCTTACCTCCCTTCTGCCTCCTGTCCTGCACTCCGTCGCCCCAGCCCCAGGGCCTCAGACTGGCTTTGAGCCTGAGGCCTCCCTGCCTGAAGTCTCCCCTGCTCAGCATCCCTCTGCCTTTCCTGGCCTGTCTCTTTGCCTGTAATGTGGATATGGGTGGTGGCTCTCCACCTCACTGGCAGGCCCAGAGGCTCTGCAGCTAAGGCCGGGTTCTGCCTGTGGGAGTGTCACACTCTCCCCGCTTGCCAGCCCTGCAGTGTCACCTGGCATGCATCCTTCTTGCCCTTGCGGTAGCCAGCACACAGCATGCGTGGTGTCACCTGGTAGTGATAGGCCTCACTGCACAGGTCCTGTGCAACCAACTGCACATCCACCTTCTGCAGGACATTACTGGTGGGGCCTGCAGGGCAAAGAGCAGAGGAGAGAAGACTGGGTGCTCCGAAGCCCCCGCACCTCCTGCCCCCTCCATCTCTCCTGCTCTGTCCCTCTGCTCTGGCTCTTTGGACTGGTGTCTTTCTTCGTATCTCATCCCCTCCTCCCTCTCTCCCCCGTGCCCCTGGCCCAGCAGGCTCTCCTCAGCTCAGCTGCAGCCCTGGGGAAAGATTCCAGAGCCTTATACACTGTCTCCTCCATGCCCCTCTCTGTTCCTGCTGTCCAGCCCAGAGCTGCTCCACATGTGCTGCATGTTAGGGTCCTCTGGAGAGATCTGATGGAGAGACTTGGCCTCCTCAGTCTAGGCCAGGACCCAGGTGTCAGGAATTTGAAGACCCAAGTGCAGGTGGGGAACAGGGTACCCGCCCTAGATCCTCATGGTGGCCCACAAGGCCCTGCTGGTCCTTCCCCAGAGCCTCACCTCACTGCATCTGCCCTCTCCCCCAACCACCCACCGTCCACTCAACTGCTGCTCCTGTTGGCCTTTGATCTTCCTGCTGACTCAGCGTCCACACCTCAGCTTAGACAAGTGGCCTCATCCTTCCCCAGCCCTGTCTGGAAGGAGTCTTCTCTGCTGCCCGGTCCCCATTCCTCCCCATTTGTGTCAGCTCTTACCACTGTGTCCTCCCCCGCCCCAAACACTTTCATCTTTCTGCTTTGCCTAACTTGGTGCTGGCAGATAACAGGTGCTCATAGATGCATTGAATGAACTAATTAGCGAGTAAGCCAGTCTTGGCCACTGCTTGTCATCCTCTTGGATAAGCCCCCTGTCACCTGGGCTCAGGTTTCCCACCACTCTACAGGACTCAGGAGTGAGCCTGAGGGGCACATTGCCCACCTACCATGCCCAAGGCTCTGGGTTCAGTGCCCAGGGACCACAGAACAAATGAATGAAAATAAATCTCTACCATCCCACTCCCTCCAGCAGTAAATCACTGCGCACATTTTCGAAGCCCTCCCATGCAGCTCACAGCCCAAGGCTGTAGTGACATCAGCTGAGCCACGGAACTGAGGGGTGGCTCTGGGGACAGCCAGTTCTGCTCGGTCAGCTCTGAAGGAGAAAAGGCTGCTTTCTGAGAGCAGCCGCAGGCAGCCAAGGTTGTGGAGTGAGGCAGGCCTGGCTTTCCATCACTGGCTAGTTCTCTGACAGTGTGGTTTAGCAGATGCCAGTGGACACCTTCACATTCCTCACCCATCAACCGCAGCCATGATACCCAACCCCAGCCTGAATGGATTCTACGCCATCGTGTTCCCCTAAACTCCAGCCTACAATGTGTAAATACTTAAGAGCCAGGTGCAGTAGCACATGCTGTGATCCCAGTACTCTAAAGCTAGAGATTGGAGGGGTCCAAGTTCAAGGCCAGCCGTTCTAACTTTAAAACAAAAGAAAAAAGAAAGGGGGCAAAGGTTGAGGCAGTGGTAGAGCTCACGCCCAGTGTGACCTGAACTGAGACCCTAGGTTCAAGGCCACATACAAAACAAGGAGCTTTTAATAAGAGCCTGCTCCATCCCGCCTCTACCCGTGCACCTCTCTCCAGGAGCCTGCACTTGAGTTTTGGTGCCCTGGGCACCCCATGCGCCCCCAACATATGCCCAAGGACTTGTGTTCCCCTTTACTAACATGGGGGGAGGGCCCACAAGCTGTAACCACAGAGGAAGAGGACCTAGATCTTGCCACTCCCTGCCACATCCCAACCCCTGTGGCCACTCACCACCCTCTCGCAGGGCGCCCCAACCCGTGATCCAGCAATGCAGGCCCGGCTCGAAGACATGGGAGCGCATGGGCAGGCAGACGGGGCGGACGGTGGACGAGCGCACCACTGGGTGGTCGAGCTGCAGCAGGGCCACGTCGTAGTCATGGCTATCCTCCTCGTGGTATGGGTGCAGGAGCAGGCGGCTCACCTTGAAAGACACCTCTCCAGGCCAGCGGGCATTCTGCCGCATCTTGCCCAGGAACACTGTCCAGAGCGCTGGATTGGCCATGCTGAGGGCGTGATGAGAGCGCCTGGTTCAGTGCCACAGATGCCCCTGCCCTCCCTCTCCAAGGTTCAGCCGATGTATGGTGCTCAGTGTCCCTGGTCCCACTACCCCTTCCTCTCTCCCTGGATAGGCAGGTGCCTCCATAGGCCTAGGTCCCCTCCTCAGAGACACAGCAAGCTCACTTCTACTTGCAGGCCCTTCGCAGACTCGGAGAAGGCTATAGATGTAAAAAGACTAGGCAGTACAGGCACTGGGCACACATCTCTGTGTGCCCACTTCGCAGAGGGCTGTGGGAAACTCCAGGGTTTGCCAGTTCTGTGTGGGGGTTGGGGGCTGGAGGCTGAGCATGAGAAGCAGCAGGAAGTGGCCGTGCAGACCCCTGGACACGGCTGTCACCGGCCTTGGGGAGGGTCTTCACCTTAAGGGCAGTGGGGAGCCAGGGTCCAGGTGGCTAGAGCTGCCTGGCGGGGACACAGGAGAGCTAGCCTGTGCAGTGTGAGGGCCTGGGCACTGGCTGAGGTGAGCGAGGTCAGACCGCTGTGAGCTGGTGTGCACACTGGGGGCCTCCCACCCGCCACCCCTCACAGCTCAGGTTGTGTTGGGGGTGTCATGGCTGTGACAACTTGGGTAGCTCTGTCTTCTACCCCGCCTGGCATCTAGCACAGCCCCTGGGGCATAGGAGGAGCACAGCAGAGACTTCCAAGTGACCGACTCATGGGCCCAACCTAAAACCAGATACCACAGGGAGCACAGAGGCCTGGGCAGAGCACCCTGAGCTTCCCCGTCTATGTAGAGCTCACACCACACCCCACACAGCGCCCTGCCTGCATCATCACAGCCCAGCACCTGGCACCCCTCACCTGTCCTCCTGGAAACAGTGGGCAGCTGTGATCACCCAGCGGTCGGCGATGAGGGCACCCCCACAGATGTGCCGGCCCCGAACCTGGAGGCTGGCCTGCCATGGCCACTCACCCTCAGAGGACACAGCCCCACCTATGATGCGGCTGGAGGGGCCCTGGAGGCCACAGTCTAGGGGGTAGGAGAGGGTCAGGGTGGGCAGAGGAGGAGGGCAGGGAGAAGCCGGTGAGAGGCAAGACAGAGGCAGAGCAGAAGAAAGAGAGAAGGAGGAGGAGGAGGTGGCGCAGAGGTCAGAGACAGACAAAAGAGGACAGACAGACAGGGTGAGATTCCCCAGCCCCCGTCCTGTCTAGCAGACGTCCTGCTGCTCACCACAGTGGAGCTCATCCGAGCCGTCCCTGCAGTCCGGCTGCCCGTCACACTGTGGGTTGGGCTTCCGCACACAGCTGCGGTCCTCACACTGGAAGGTGAAGGTTCCACAAGGCACTCCTGGGGTGGGGGCATGGAAGGCGGGTCTCTGAGCCCCGGTTGCAGGGAGAGGCTGGCAGGACAATGGGGAGGGGCCTCTTGCTCACACAGATGGGTCCCTGAGCTTCCTGCAGGGCCCCCTAAAAGCAGGCCAGGCCCTTGCCAAAGCTTCACATGTGAACCTGTCTGCTGAGAGGCTGTCTCTTGCCTCAGACTGGGCCTTTCACCACAGGGCATGCTTCTTCCTCCAGGGTGGTCCCTGAAGGCAGAACTGTGCCCCCACTTCCAGACTGGGTCTCCAGACCTCCTTGGGGTGGTCATCACCTGGTCCATCACCATGTCCATGCCAGGTCTTTTTGTCCCCCACCTGTCCCCTATTTAAATTCCAGTCTGCTCTTGGAAGGGCTGCTCTCCAAGCCCCTCCCACCCCCAAGCTTCCTGTACTATGGGACATGAGGTCCAGAAGACTGGCTCAGAAGACTGGCCATCATGTCATTCTACTAACAACTCCTGAAGGGCAGGGCCATGTTTCTGATGTCTTTCTCCTTCTCTTTTACCCCACCTCGTCTGTCACTGAGTGGCCTTCAAGTGTTGCTTGGCTAGTCAGAAGGAATGCAGGGCTAGACTAGGGACACAGACAGACTGAGCAGAGGCTTACACCAGTCTGTCCAGATGGTCCAGTGGGGAAACTGACAAACAGCTATAAGGTGAGCAAATGAGTGGGCATAAGGACCAATGAACAAACAGGTGACTAGGGGGATAGATGGTAGATGGAAGGATGGATGGATGGGTGGGTGGATGGATGGGTGGGGTGGATGAATGGATGAATGGATGGATGGATGGATGGATGGATGGAAGGATGGATGGATGGGTGGATGGATGGATGGATGGATGGATGGATGGAAGGATGGATGGATGGGTGGGTGGATGGATGGAAGGATGGATGGATGGGTGGGTGGATGGATGGATGGAAGGATGGATGGATGGGTGGATGGATGGATGGAAGGATGGATGGAAGGATGGATGGATGGGTGGGTGGATGGATGGA